TTTAAATTTGAATATAATTCGAATTTTGATCATATTTAAGTAGAAAATTCGAATTTAGTTTTTCAGTCATTTTGACAGCCCTACTATACAGTATGCAATAGTATACTGTACAAATGAAAACATGGATGAAAATATTCTTCCTTAAAATTATTATTAAAATGATAATTATTACTTTAAGAAGTACATTTTAGTATGCAATAATAATAATTCCTGTTATAATTTCTTTAACTAAAACCAAACCTTTATTCTGGCAGTTTGTCATGAAGACCTTGCAGTGTGTGTCTTACGATAATTCAAGTCATGTGTTTTTCTGACTCAATTTACACCTATATTAAGCACATGTGTCTGGATGATAATACCAGATGTAAAAGGGGTTCATTCTAATAAAATACTCAAAAACTGGATTGGCAGAACCATAGGAGAGAGGGAGATGGGAAATTATTGGCTTGCCCTGACAGCGATCTGAACGTCCTGAAAGAATTGTTTCTGAATTCAAGAGGGAACAGAAACATCACACAAAAGCAGCTTTCAGATGGCCTCCAGTAATGGCTAGAGCCGTACGGAGGTAGTCGACTCATTTAAACCCCACACAAGTCCCGTATCTCTTCCTCGCTACAGCCTGACCCACCTCCAGGGGGAAAAGACTAATTGATATGCCAATCAGGTCTCACATCAACCACCAAGACTGTCTGTGTGAGGCACCACACTGCCCAAGAGGGAATCTGGCTTTTTTTCTGGTCTCCTCTCCATTTTAATGGTCACCCTCTCCTCAATCTGACCGAAGTATAAATCTTCATATTGTACCACGTACCAGGGAGAAAATTCCTGCGCTATTCGGTCAGCAAACCTCGGAGACGTACTGAATGAGGAGATGAGAAAGAAACCCAGGGGAATCCCTGCCTTTGCTGGGAAAGGTCAAGACTGGCATTAGCAGCAGAGGTAGATGGGAAAGGAATATAAATGCCTCTGGGAAGGATCATTACTTGGAGAGCAGCACTTTCCAAGCAGGTTGATAACAAACATATTTTATTTATGGCACCGTAAACAAGTATCCACTAAGCAGGGATCGACGGTGAGAGCATTTTACTTGCATTTGTGACTAAAAATAGATGTGTGCAAACTGCAAAATGTATTTAGGATACATGAGCGAATAAAAAGTAGGTTCCCACGTGTCCTTAAAATCAAAATAATGGCATAACAAAAGTCTTATTTATCATTTTAAGAGGTCTTAAATTTGGAGCCGGAAATCAGGAATTGCTATATGGCTTAATGCAGTGTTATTTTAAAGGGGTCATATGATGTTGCTAAAAAGAACATTATTTTGTGTATTTGGTGTAATGAAATGTGTTTATGCGGTTTAAGGTTAAAAAAACACATTATATTCCACATACTGTGAAAATCGAAAAGATACTATAAAATTCAAAGCAAAAAGTAGGAAAAAAGATTTTTTTAAAATGTCAAATTATGCCTTATATTGAGTCTTGGTGCTCACGCAGTTGGAGCAGGTTTGAATCTTGTTTGTGTCACGTTCTGACTTTATTAATGATCTTTATTCTCAAAATAATTTAGTTTTCTCTTAAATTGTCATTACAAGTAGCAAAAAATATAAAAAATAAACAATCAGAAATTATATATGTATATATAATATTTATATATACTATAATATATATATATATATATATATATATTAGATGATTAAAAAATAAAATAATAAAAATAAATCAAAAATGAACAGAATCACAAATATTTATTACCAATGGTAAATAAATAAATAAATAAATAAATAGGGATATTGCTAATATCTCAACATTAAAATAACTGGGTTGTATTGTAAGATTTTATTGGAAGTGGAAAAGACTTATTGCATTCCTGACAAATTCACATCACAGAAAACAGAATGTAAAAACATGAATCTAAAGAGCCAAAGGGGGGAACGGGTGATAAAGGAAGCTGTAAGTGATGCACAATGACAAACTACACTTAAAATCTCCAAGACTGTGAAAAAATTAAAACTGCAGTCTTTCTCTTTTCTGCGAAGGTGTTACAGCCTGGAGCTCATCCTAACGCAAGGAGACAGGAGAGAAACCTGCGTGACACCAGCAGTTTCTCAACAATGGCTGTTAAAGGTGAGGTCTGAAAATTAAGTTTGGAAGTAATTTCTTGAACATGTTAATTTTTTTAATCATGCAAAAGAGGAAAGGTTCAGCCCTGCATGATGACCAATTAATAATGATTAGGGTTATTATAGTTAACTAAAACTGAAACAATAACCATATTTTAAAAAATTATAATAATCTATAAAATATAAAAATACAAATAAAAAAATTATTTAAATAAGCAGCTAGTTGCCAAGGCAACATTTTTTCATTTAATTTAACTTGCACAAAAAATAACTAAAACAGAAATAAAAAAATTATAAAAGCAGTATAGACATAATTAATATTGAATACTAAAAATGTCAAAAACACAAAAAAAATTACTAAAACTTTAACTAAAATTAAAATGAATACGGAAAGTATAAATATATATAAAATTAATATATATTTGAACTAACTAGCCAAATTATATTTCACAAATGGAGGCAAATGGAAGCTAATATTTGATTTAGTTAGCATAATTTGCACTGATGGATCGTGCACAACACGACCAGGGACATTTATTAAGAAAGTCAATTTTGATCTCATGTTGACTTTGAAAGACCTCAGTATTCAAAGATAATCTAGCATGTAATTTTAGAGGTAAAGTACTTAGTCTAAACACAAAAGTGCTCACCTTGCCATCAAATTTGGAGTACTCGTTGAAGGGGTTGTTGAGCTGTTGAGGACACTGTTCTAGCCGCAGCGAGAGTGTGGATTTACTGCCTGTGCTCCGGGGCCTGTTCTTAAAGTCCTTCTTTTCAAAAAGTGAGCTCAAGTCGTCTGCTACAAAAAAAAATAAAAAAATCAAGATAGAGGAACAAATTTTCAGAGGACAAGAAATAAAGACCAGAAAATGAAAGCAAACTTCTCTTTTGAGTATGACTACTGTACCTGATTGAGACGAGCTTCTCTCTTTCCACTGGATGTTTTTGCACTTGATCTGGTTCTGTCGTTCTTTCCTCAGTCGCTCCAATCTTTGAGCTTTAAATGAAAAGACCTTGATCTATTAACAGTGTCAGTGGTGTGACCCCATTACACTTCAAAGTTCATGCATATTATAAGAGTAATTAACAAATACAAGGGCTGAATTCACCTGGTGAAAAAATATGCAGCGGGTTATCATACCTTTTAATCTATAATAAATCTTAGAATAGAAATGCAGGTTATTACTAGACTGATGATTTATATATTAACGCGCTTGTCATAACAAATCAATGTCAAACTTGGCCCACTATTACACTAGTCTTGGTTTTCTTCATCAATAAGCTGCCAAAGAAGTGCTTGGATGAATCTCACTAACAAATGACCAGGTCATATTTCAGTTCAAAATCAAAAGAAGAAAAAAAAAAACAATACACAGTATATTTTATGCAAAGAAAATTAAGGTGTTTTTTTTATTGTGACATTATTTAAGACATTTAAACACATTTCCCCCTCAAAAAAACCTCATTCTCATTACCGCAACATAGAAAAGCTGCTAATCATGTCTCTATTGTTTTTTTTTGCTTTTTATTAAATCTAGTCCAGCAAAATTTACCTTGATGTATACTTTAACTTTTGTGCTTTACAAATCTAATTTAATAATATATCATATTTTTTTATATCATATCATATTTTTCCCCATTACAGTAATGAGAATTTTTAAATGTCATGAAAATGTCACAAAGGGAAAAAAAAAAAAAAAAAAAAAATTTATGGTCTTAAAACACTCTCAACTTAGTCATTCATGTCACCGGATATACCAGAATGTCTACACAGAAGTACAAGACATTTTCCATTTACTTCATGAGGTCTACAGCTGATCTACATTATATTTGATTTTCCAAACACATAAAAATGCATTCTAAACAATATGCACATATGCATTTTGTTTAGTATGCATTTTTATGCGTTTGGAACATGTTCCATTCAAACTAGTCCAATTTGTACACTTAAAACACTTCAAGGGTTTGGTTAGAGAGCACTTGGCTGCTATTTTGAGAGCAAGTACAAATATGCAGCATGTATATTAGTGGTCGACCGATATATCGCCAAGGCCGATATTTGGCATTTTTAAAATATCGGCAAAATATCTACATCTCTAATACTCAAGTCAAAAGTGTTTGGTTGATTCTGGAACTTCAACCTCAGTGGTCTGGGACGTTCCACATGAAGGTTATTTTTTTCCCACAGTGGAAAACCAGCACAATTACAGATGCACAAATATATAAGTGACCATAAACCATGAAATACACTCTATCAGAAAATATGTGAAGGCAAACACTTCATGCATTTTTAAATGTGTCACATTGAAATTTATAATGCAACATTAGACATTTGAAGGAAATTATATTGTCATCTTGAATACTGGGAATTATTGCTTGAACAGTAAAGCAAGAACATACATTAAGTATCTTTTCCACGTCACAATGTGTACGTTAGACTGTAGCCTGCCTGACAGGAGCTTTGAAGATTTACAATATTGAACACTGTTATTATACTAGACATGAAATTAATAGACAGAATTTTGTTTATTTATTTATTTTTATTTATATTATACGAGACAAGACATCCCATTTTGGTGGCTGCATCAAATCAAATTTACTAAAGTGATTTTAAATAGAAAAATCATGTTAAATAAAAGTAAAATATATATTTTTATATATATATATTATAACTTTTGTGAAAATAAAATGTCAAAATGTGGATGAAATAATGTTCCATTGTCATTCAGTGTAAGAAATATTTATGTAAAATGAAACAATATACTTATTCTGACAAAAAGTGATCGTTCTAAATTTTATTATATTTTCGAATTACAGTCAAACCAGCATTTATTCAGACATCTTCAACGTTTCACACATTATCAGAGTTTATTCACTATAGTTTAGAAAATGGAAATAAAACATGACAAGAACTCCGAGTTAAACGGTGTCAGAAAAAATTCATTGTGATAACGTCAGATAACACTTAAGCAAAACATGGTCAGGTCAAAGTGTCAGAATAATTTTTGGTCCCAAATTTTTTATCAATTTTACCGATATGTATGAAGAATTTTGGGGTATAATATGTCACAGTTTACTTTATTTTGCTATCCTCACTTACATAGATGAACTATAGTGTCCTGCACCCACTAGTAGAAAAATATCAAAAATTATATCTGGTGTCTGAATAATTTTTGGTTTGACTGTATATTTTAAATTGTATTAAATTTTCTAAATTTTATTTTATTATTTTTTTCCCCTAAAGGGTGCATATTACTACCTTAAAGATACCTATTAGTACCCAAAATGTACATATTAGCAGGGGTGCGCACATAAATGGTACGCATACCGACATGGTTGACAGCTGTTAAAGGCAGGGTATGTGATATTTCAAAAACACTTTAGAAAACTGATTCAGGCCGAATAACAAAACAAACTTGTAGCCAATCAGCAATAAGGGGCGTGTCTACTTGTGATGTGGAATTTTCAAAGCACAATGCAAAACTGTGACATTTAATTTACTGATGCGCTAAACCCGGAAGCGCATATACTAACTTGCCGGCAACCCGCCAAAATAAAAGCCTGCTGACTTTAAGTTTGAAAATAATGAAAATTCATCTTTAAAAAAAAAAAAAGTAGTAAATATTAGCATTTTATTTTTATGTTTACTATAAAATAGCTGTAATTGTATTTAATACTCCCTTTTTATTTTAAAATATAATAGTATTATCACATTTTATTATTTTATTAAAAAAAGTAAATAAAGTATTAAATAAAGTATTTATTGAAATAAAGTAATTATCACTACGATTAATTTAATTTAAATTAAATTAATTAATTTACACTATGTGCAGTGTGAGGACCAAACCAAATCTCCAGGTTCTCTTATGAGAACCAGGCTGAAAAATGTATGTGCACTCCTGCATATTAGTCCCTTTTGAAAGTGTACTGGCCCAGTGACAGCTTTTGTTTATTTTTATTTTTTATTCAATCAGTGTTTCTAAGGGTCTGCAGGACTTAGTTGGATTTCAACCCCATTAAAAATTTAATTAATTCAATTAATTAAATTCAAACTGAATTTGATTCAAAGATTAGATTCATCAGATTCATATTGATATTTTCAGCACTGTTTCCTGTCCTGAACACTTGCTTACCAGCAGGCTCAGGTCTCACGAAACTGTCTTGTCGTCCTGGGCACAAGTTGTTCAGATGGTTCATAGAGAAATATTTCCAAGATCCCCCTCCCCGACAAAAGCATCTCAAAACCAGAGCTAAGCCACATCCATTTCACCAACGTTACAAAGCTAGAGTGCTAGTGATTCTCAATCCCTAGCCAAGGATTAATGCGCATTTCAACAGCTGCCATGACAAAAGGTACTGGCTGAAACTGAATGACTCCAGGAACAAACCTCAACATAACCAGGCATCAGTATATCAGTCCTTACACTGGCCAAAAACCGTTTGAACAAGCATAACATAATAAGAGTCTCACATAATTATGCCTAATTCTGCATTGTCATATCATATCCAAAGCAAAATATAATAGGCATAACTCACCTGTAATGTGAGAAACTGATTGTTTTCCATGTGAAAAGGTTTTTTTTTTTGTGAAATTACTCTTTGAATTTAATTAAAGTGTCACTCAAAAACATTTCAGTATAAAACATTGCTGGTATCTACAGCAAAACATTGACACATTTTGTTGAGATATTCTCTCTAATAGTCCAAGGCTCGCAAAATTTCAAAATCCCTGGTAGCCCTTTGGGCAGGCATTCTTCAGATTTTGGTAGCCCAAAAATGAATTTAACTAGCCCAAATAAAAGATATTGTATTTTTTCTTCAAATAACAAGTCAAGAGAGTAGGGGTGCAACGGATCACAAATCTCACGGTTCGGATTATATTACATTATCATATCACATTTTGAGTCACAGATCGGATCATTTTTCAGATGCTCAAAAAAAATATGATTCTTTATTATTTAAGTAACACTTATTATTTAAAGAACAATTTACTACTTCAATACCACAGCAAAAACTAGTAGCATATAGGGATGTAACGATTCACTCAACTCAATACAATTTTCTCACAATTTCTTTTTTAACAAAATGAGATTTAAGACTTAACCTAAGCTCCGTCTGTGAAACCAGGCCATAGTGTTTAAGTCCAGCCTAACTTTCTGTTTTGTTTTGCTCCAAGGTTTCAGCCTATTGATAATCAGTAAGCAGAGATGGGAATAGTAAGGAAATGAACGATTCTGGCTCTGATTCAGATTCCACTTAAAGATTCTGTCTCCTTAAGGATTGCATTAACAATTCTTTCAGGTTTTCTGAATGATCTCTATTTAGGAAGCAGTTTTTTTCAATTGCAATCAATTGCATTTAGGGCCCTCAGCAGCCTGTCATCAAATGAGTTCAGATATTCAACAAAAATAAAAATACACAGAACTTCCTCTAATGCCATATTTTGCTAAATGAACAAATGTTTTAGATCAATAATAACTTTCTGGAGAGGTACCAGAACAGTTATCAGAAAAGGATCCAATTCTCGCTTCCCAACCCTAATATGCTGTGATTTCTGTCCATCTGCAAGCCATGCAGCAGTTCAGATGATGACCAAACAAATACTAATTGATGTAATGATAACACGATACACTTGTTAAGACATGTTTGTTGTTGTTTAACATCTTTAAAAACAGCTGTATTTCCTGTTAGAGACTTAAATGGCTTCAAATGTCACATTTCTCAGCATCATCAGCTGAACTGCTTTAAGCAAATCAATACAGATAGAAATCATGTTCAGAGGGAAAGAGGTAATCATGGGCACAGCAAAATGAAGCAGAAGCATGCAAGGTTCAGTTTAGGCTGGCATCCCATTAGCAGATTTTCAACATTCAGCATGTTGATATTGATTGGTTAGTAAACTCTGGTGGTGACCAAAATGCATCTTCTGATGGATTTGTTTCTTACAAACACACAGCTTTTCACTTCTCAAGATGTTAACTGATGGACTGGAGTGGTGTGGATTATTGTGATGTTTTTATCAGCTGTTTGGACTCTCATTCTGACGGCACCCATTCACTGCAGAGGATCCATTGGTGAGCAAGAGATGTAATGCTAAATTTCTCCAAATCTGTTCCCATGAATGAATAAACTCATCTGCGTTTTGAATGGCCCGAGGGTAAGCAAGTTTTCAGCAAATTTTCATTTATGTCTGAACTATTGTCTGAACTTATAAGTTGGTCTGAGTGACACGATACTGGAATTTCTAACTTTAATACAATGCCTTGAATAATATAGATAATCAATACCAGTGGGGGAACTATGACGTCAGAATCCGGAAGAGTAATTCACCGCGGGTTCCTTCGAGATTTTCCTATGGGGTTTTATAATTGGGTTTTTCAATTAATGAGTAAAATAAAGCTTGTGGTAAACATAACTTGACGATACTTTTACGTTTTGTTCTACAATGTAAATTACACGCATCCATACCCAAAACACAAATTTTGAAAGAGTTATGTTCATTTTTGAAAACGTATGTTTTTAATAAGTAACTAGATAAGAACATTTGGGCTGTGAGTGTGTGCGGTTTACATTGTAGAACAAAACATAAAAGTATCGTCAAGGTATGTTTACTACAAGCTTTATTTTACTCACTAATTGAAAACCCCCATTATAAAACCCCATAGGAAAATCTCGAAGGAACCCACGGCGAATTACACTTCCGGATTCTGACGTCATAGTTCCCCCACTCTATTGGGCAGTGATTAATTAATACTTGAAAGAGTTAAACCTTGAACTTTTACTTTGGTGAAAAACTGCAGGGAAGCCTTCCAAGTTTCTGTGACAACAGGTTTACAAACGGTTCTCGTTACAAATCTAGCCAAATGCTGTAATCACACAAAAATGTTGGAAATTGCGCAAATGTAAAAATAAAGTGCAACTGGGCAATATTTGCTTTTCTCATCTCATCTAACAATCTTAAAACCAAGTGTGAGAAGGTTTTGGTTTCATCTTTACCTGTACCAACCACATCAGTAAGCTGGTTTCAGGTCCCCGAAAGCAGAAAGTCTGAGAGTCAGACAGCTACTTGCCTGTGTTGGAGCGCCGTCGGATGCCGAAGTCCCAGCTGGAGGTGATGTCGACAGACTGAGAGAGATCGCAGTTCTGGCCGTCTCCTCCACTGCTGCCGTCTCCATACGATCCCCCGGACGAGCCTCCACCAGCAGACGCCGCAGACGATTGGCACTTCTCCAGATCCACGTCGTGGTCGATCAGGACCATCTCACACATCCCGGTGTCATCGCTGGTCACGTGCGACTGCCGGATGTGGGCCAGGATGATGGCGGGGTTGTCGAGGAAAGCCATTCTAAGCACCAGCCCCTCACCCCTCTGTCGCTCTCCGGTTCTCCGTCCGGATGTGCCGACCCTCAGTCGGAGTTAGAGGCTGAAGATTCCTCAGCAATGCAGCGTCTTCTTTTCCTTCTTTTTGGGGTTATTTTCTCCTCTCCATGGTGGGACATGGATGCCTGCCTACAGGGTAACACAGACCAGATGTTTAAGCATTAAGCCACAAATATCATACAATGATTGCGTAATATATTAACCCTATAAAGCCTACTGTATCATACTTGATATGCAAATTTCTACATGATCAAAACTTTGCTGAAAATTCTGCTATTCACAATCTACTACATGCCTTCTGTCGTCTGATTGACAGTTTACATTTTTTAGTAAGTCAAAGGTCTTTTAGCATAGTTGTAAAAACATCCACCTTCATCTCGTTCTTAACTATTTTTTTGCTGTGAAATCTTTACTGATCTTTATAAAGTTAATGCAAGAATAACTTTTATATTGTTAGTATTTCAAGATGAACACTTCCTGGACTGAAGCAACTTAGGTTTACTTGATTATCCATACATCACTTTTAGTCAAAAGTCAAAATGTGAGTATCAATGATCTTCAGGCTTTAGAAGAATGTTGATCTGTTCATCTCTCAATCATTATTGTATTGCATTGCATTATAGACCAATCTGGAGTAGGGTTGCAAAGGGGTGAAAATTTTCCAGTAAATTTCCGGAAACTTTCCAAAAATCCCTGGGGCCTCATTTATCAACAGTGCATACGCACAGATGTGTGTGTAATAAGTGCGTAAGAACAGTTTCACGCAAAGTGAGGGATCTACCAACTTGTACTTATACGTAGAAATGTGTGTAAATATAAGCACACCTCTGAGCATGCTTACGCAGAGAATCTAGTGGTAGAATAGCGACACTACACATAAAAAGCATTTAAGAGTGTCACCGTATGCATTAAGCAATCCACATATGTCCTGTGTTTCCATTAATTATAAAACACTCAATTTATCATTTGTCTGGTTTTAAACAGACAAGTTGCGTAATTGGTGTCAAACCCTATAAAAGACAGCTGTGACAAATGTTTGTCTCAGTAAAATGGCTTATCTTGCGTTATTGGAAGACTTGGCAAACAATGCGCTCTGCAGAGAATGCGTTTTCAAAGACCGCGCTGAGAGTGAGAGCACAGAATGGCTTCTCAGTCAGTACCGCTTTCTTTGCCATGATTTCGGTGAGGACACATACATTCACGTGATTTATAAAGGGAGGTGTTGTCACCATATATTGTTCATTAAAGGCGTTTCCAAATGCAAATGACCATGAACGTGTTACTTACGCACATGTGGGATTTATCAACAATGATTGCTTACTAGGGCTGTCAAAATGACTGAAAAACTAAATTCGAATTTTAAAGGCATAATTTCAGTTAGGGGGGAAAAAAGCTTTTGGCTTCTCTCCTGAGGCCACAAGAGGGCGCATCGAGCAAAATATTATGCACGTTTCTTCAAAGCGTAATAAAATAACACGACTATCTTTGGAAAAAAAGTGCATAATGTTTAAAATAGTGTTTATAACCCATATATAATTACTAAAGTTGCTTAAACAATTAGAAAAAAAACAGCACCATGCATGTATGTATAGTTTAATACAAAGGACCGAAAACCAATCACAAAGAGTAGGCTACTTTCTTCATTTAAAAACATGAGATACAGTGGGATGGGGAAAAACCGGCATAATGTCTTTAGACTAGGGCTGGGGGGCAAAAAAAAATCGATTTTTCAATTAATCGTTTTTTTAAATGACATCGATTCGACATCGATTCTCAAAAGCCGCGAATTGATCTTTTCCAGGATTTATTTCAGCACATTTAAAACAAGATCTGCTTAACGTGAATCTTATCATTAGTCTTCTCCACTAGATGTCATCCTTATTTACCTTGCGCGATGTTACAACAGAAAGCCTGTCATTCATTCAGCACTTATCATGGCCATACGCATGATTCGCAATGCTCAGGTGAAATGCTATAGTAATACTATAAATCTGCGGAAGCATTTGATATCACGCATAAGGCACCATGATTTCCGCAATGAATGAATGAATGGCAACGCTGATAGATGTCCCTCTAGAAAATGTGATAAATATGCGTTCTGTGTGAACGGCTTGGTTTCAGTTTTGATGTAAACAACATCTTCTCCACACTGATGCTCTCGTTTTCCGCAATATATGAATGAACAACGTAGCAGCGCCGCATCTAGTGGGTTCAACTGGATAGGCTAACAAAAGCATTCAAATGCAATCAATGACACATTCATCGTCATCGCATCTCGTGCACCACTGATAAGGCTGCCTGACGGCTGACGCAGACCTTAAATTGTGGATGAGGATTGGATTTTTTTTTTTTAATTCGAAGGATATTCGAAATTCGAAAATTTTTTTGACAGCCCTATTGCTTACTCATGTGCGTAAGAACTGCGTGTGCACATTTGATAAATACGGATGTTCTTGTACTTAGGCACATTATAAATTTCATTCGTAGGATAAAATATAGAACCTTTTCTACGCACTGTTGATAAATGATGGCCCTGGAATATTTAAAAAAAATCCTGGAAAGTTTCCAAAATTTCTGGAATCACTTGCAGCTGCACGCGCATTGTGGTGGCAGAAAAACACTGGTAACAAGTGTTGGGAAATGGGTCAAATCCATGGAATAAGAGGAAAAAAATGTATTGTTGTGCTTTTGGATGTCAGAATAGGAATGCAAATAATTTTCTGTATTTTTACAGAATACTGTCGTCAAAGACACCATTTAAAGCTAAACGCAGACGTTTAAATGGACAAACTATGGATGAAACCTGCTATGATTACCCTACTTTTAAAGCATACATTTGATTTAAACAATATATCTACATAATATTAACATATGCAGTTCTTAGCCCAACAGTTACAGCATTTTACAACATCTTTGACCTATTTTATCTCACAATTCTGACGTTTATATCTCCTAGTTCAGACTTTATTACTCAATTTAACTCAACAATTGCTAGTTTGTCCATTCTGAGGGAATAAAAGCCAGAGTGTAAAGCATACATTTGATTTAAACAATAGATCTACATAATATTAACATATGCAGTTCTTAGCCCAACAGTTACAGCATTTTACAACATCTTTGACCTATTTTATCTCACAATTCTGACTTTTTTTCTCTCACAAATGCAAGTTTATATCTCCTAGTCCGGACTTTATAACTCGATTTAACTCCATAATTGCGAGTTTATCAATTCTGAGGGAAAAAAAAGCCAGAAGTGTGAGATATAAACTCATGATTCTGAGCCGAGGGGAAAAGAGAGAATGACCAGTTGACTTTTCTTATTAGAATTGTGAGATCTAATCTCAGAATTGTGAGAAAAAAAGTCAGAGTTTTGAAATATAAACCTTAAAATGACCTTTTCTTATTCTTTTATTCCATGGCTTCCATAGACTGCTACTTTAAAACTGTCATAACTGTCAACACCGAAATTGGTCTATATATATCTTGAAACTACAGAGCTTTCATCATAAAATCAAGTATTTAAATATCATCTTACTAAGACATATTGAGTGATATAGAGTGACAGCTGATATTTATTTATACATATTTTATGTCAGTAGTCTCCTATACTGCCAAGATCGGACTGATTTACATTACAAGCGATCAGAATTATATTTTTTGCCATATAAATAACATCTACAACAAATTGCATATTTCTGCTCCGTAAACTGTGCAAAAGTGTTAAATAAATTGCTCCATTTAAAAAATAAATAACATGTGGTAACATTCAAACACTGTCATGGTAGCAAGTAACTCCCCTTTACAACTCAGCATGCTGAATACATTCACAAACACAAGTTTTGCAGAGCATGCATATTTGTAAATATGCATCTCTCATTCTGCAAAATCAATTGTCAGCTTTAAGTACAGCAAAGCAATTGCATTTGATTCATTAGGTTGATTTACAGACGTGCTTTATATTAAGTAAGCACTTCTGAAGTCTGCTGGGGGCATTTAAGCATTGCCGCAATCGTACAGAGCTAATGAGTGAAATCAATCAGGCTGGATATTATATATTTATTGGGGTAGATTTTTCCAACTATTATTTCATATGTCAGGCTTTAGCGGGGAATATATTTAGAGAAGTACATAAATTAAAATAAATATGTACTATCCACATAGCTTCTTACGACAAGTCAAACTAAAATCATTAATTTAACAAATTTAGGACAAAATTCATAATACACACAGGTATAATGGATAAACCAGTCTTCCAGGCTCTATTATTGTTCTTATGAGGATGTTTAAGATATAAACACACAGTAAAGCAAATACACACAGTTGGTTAGTTACTAACTAGCTGTCAAGATCGCTCCGGTCACCTGAAAGCCAAACAACAACCTTCCTAACTAGCCCAGGACATAAGCAGGGACACCCATACCTTACTGTTACACCACATGTTACAACGTTTTTAAAATCCTGATTTGTAAACAGAATAACAAATGATAATGCTAAAATGCTAATTAGCCAGAAAGCTAACGATTTTTGATCAATAACCACATTAACTGTGTTCATTATGAGGGCGAGCCGGTCACAAATGTACTCTCGTTGCTGTCTAATATGAATAACATTACATTTGACTAATATTTAGGATAAGACACGCGTAGTAAGAGCTCAGTGAACGCGCTAGTCAGGCCCTGCTAATGCTCGTGCTAATCTGCTCGATGAGCCTCAAACATCAGCGCATCATTACCTTCATTCATGCCTATAACAGCGGCTGAAACCATCACAGACGCGCCACACCGTCCGAGCGAGGCACTGACTGTACGGTCTCATTTCATACTTGTGGAGATATCGTCCCAAAAACAGAATAAACGTGTCTGTTTACTCTGTTGTTCCTGTGTTGGTGGTCCAGTAATCTACTTCCTGCGGGTTTACCCCTCATACCGGAAGTACACCCTCTAGAACGAAGAATGGACAAGACGCGGCCAATCAAGGCTAGATTGTTAACAATTAATAAAAATAGATAGACAGATAGATTTTATTTTATTCTATTTATTTTTTATTTGATTTTATTATTTGAAATGTTGTTTTAATTTAATGTGATTTAATGTTTTTTTTTTTACCTTGTTCCTTTTCATTTCCCCTTTTTTTCTTTATAATTTCTTAAATTAAGAGGCATGTTCAAACTTCACATAATACAATATCTACAATTAATAACTTTCTTTGATCAGAAGTCAGAGGTCAGAAAGAGCTTTATTGCCAATCATGTTTGCACATACAAGGAATTTGTTTTGGTGAGAAGCTTTCAGTTCACAGAGACAACAACAACACACAGATAATAAAAAATAAAGATATGTGAATAAAATACACACACACACACATATATATATATATATATA